ATCGTTGGCCCTCGACCATCGCCTTCGACCAAAGTCGTTCTAAAATTTAGGGTTGGCGCGGAGGGTGGATCGGTTAAGGGTGGACCCTTTTACCGGGGGCAAACAGAAAATGCATTATTTATCGGCCGTAGCGACTGGCAATTCATCGAATTCCCGCTAAAAGTGAAAGAGTTGAGGTGGAGGGTTGTCGGTGGCGTAACGCAAGCTGCGGGAATGAAAACTGGGGGGGGATGGGGGTGGAGTTAAGTGGCACCTTTTCCCCTCTCCTTTTGCGCATTCTCACGCGTATACATACCCTGCCTGGAACGGAACAACTCTTTCCTGACCGCTTCCTTGTCAACTTCTTTCCCCCCTTCTGCCCGCTTTTAATAGCTTCGCGATACGCGTATCCATTTTTAAAGTCAAACATCCAGCCGATATATACGTCCCGTTTTATACGTCCAATATTCTCGTATAACTGGCAGTTTAATTCAGACTTTCTCTTTGTATCCGGAAAATAAATGGTTCGTAAGTTTTCGAGGCACTAATTGCGGGTGGTAAGGAAACGGAGGACGGAGCTCGATGGAGCTGTAAAGTGTGGCGTAAGGGTACACGCTCGAAGGGAATCGGAATAAACGTTCGATCTTGCTAGATCTTTCCTTTCCTTCCCTTCCCTTCCCTTTCTCCTTCCTTCCTCCCTCTTTCTCATTCTCTCCTCGTCTTCCCCCCCCCCTCCCCCCGTGATTTATGTTAATGTTTTTGTCTAGAACTCTAAATACAAGGAAAGGCGATTCGATTCCTGCCGCGTCAAGTTCGCAGCCCCTTCCGTTTTCTTATGCTGATGCCGATTAACTTAACTGCTTTAAGACGGCAATAAAGGTCGTCGACGCGATTTAACCGGTTTCCTTTTACCATAGAATCGATGCCGTAACGCCCTCGAACGTGAAACCAAAGCTTCAGCCTGCATATTGACGATAATGGGAAAAGTTGTTCGCCTCTTCGATATCTGACTTCTGGTAGGAGCGTCGATCAATCAGCCTATCCGTGATCCACCACCTTATTTTAAACTCTTCTCTTTTTCTTTTCTTTTTTTTTCCCCCCCTCCCCGTCTCTTTTCTTTTTAATTTATCAATCTCGACGATATTTCTCCAAGCCTCCTGTCCAAAGTAATTTCGAGTGAAAAAAAAAAAAAAAAAAGAAAGAAAAATAAAAAGATAGAAAAAGAGGAATAATCGAACGAGCCTTTTAATACCCTTGATGATGCCTCGTTCGAACCTTTCACACCTTTTTACACTTTTCCTCTACGTGCGTATCCTTCTCTTCTCTCCTTCGCCATCTCTTCTCCTCGTTCAACTCCTCGTTTGAACCAGCTGCCAGTTTCGACGAGCGTGCATTCCCCCGCGAGACAAATCGAGAGATAATCGATTTACCCGGTTCGACACGATGCTCGTTCCTTTAACATCTGTTTATTGCTTCCCAATTCGATCGTGTAACACGGCAGCCGGCCCGTTACCGTTACCACGGCGAGAAACCACTTTCGATATTCGGCATGAAGTTGGCATTAAACTGACCGAGACCCAACCCCTCCCCTCCCGCGCTCCCCGCAGGTACACAGTTTCTGCGGCGTCGGGGTTGGTTTCCGAATCTGAGAGAGTTTTCGAGGTCCGGATTACCTTATCTACGGACTCTCACTCGCTCGCTCGCGCCAATTCCTAAATTCGAAATCCCACCGGTCCATATACCGGCCCGTTTACGCCACGATTTACTCCCCTCCCCTCCCCTAAACTCGTCCCCCGGCGACTGTGCCTAAGTCCGGCGGGTAGTAACGCGATATACGAGCTATCCACGAGCCGCGTGTCCACGCTATCCCCACGTTGTCACGCTTTCTTCGCGAACGCTCGAACCAACGCTCGAAGATCCCCTCCCCTCCCCTCCATCCATCCATCCCATGTATGAATTACAATTCGACGTGTTTTACGAGAAGAAGAAGGCGAGGTTTTTTGGAGATAGTTGGTACGAATCTTTATTATCGAGACAAGTTTGAAACGGAGGTGGGGCAAAAAAGAAAAAAGAAAAAAAAGGAAATGAAAGTATCGTTTGTTAACGCGAAGAATGCAATTACCGGAGAGTTAAACGTTTCTACGGGTGATAATAAGATTGCGCAAGAGTTGCAAGGCCCAACGCGGTAACGATAAAAAAAAAAAATCAAATGGTTGGAATTGATAAGACGAGTGTAACCGCTTCCCGGATAATAAATGCTCGTTTATATCCCGCCGTATCTCGGCCGTTTCCCAGCACACGTGTAACCCATACCGGTTGTTCGCGAAGCACCGATTTATGATTCATATGAGAGTAAGAAACGTATTTTCGACGAAATATTGGGCGAGCGATTGATTCGAGCCAAAACTCTGGACTCTGGAGCAGAACAATATCGTGGACACGCATTGTCTTTCGTTGAAAAAAAACTTTTATTTTTTCCTTTCTCTTTCTCTTTTGGAGAGAGAAGAGGAAACGATCGCGATGCTCGTAATATTTTTGTTTTTGGGAGTTGAGCGGGAGAAGTGACGGAAAAAGGGATTCCCCTGCACCTGATGCAATTAACTCGCTATTAACGAAGCAGACGTTGAACAGAGGGCCGCCGTTACGAAAGTATAGCTTGCTGTACGTGATTAAAACGGGAATTCGTTATGGGTACACCGAGCACGTCGATAAGATTAATTGATAAATGGTTAAATCGATCGGCTCCGTTGTAGTTTCACCTCGGCTTGGGCTTATCGGGGGAAAGATAAATATCTCGTAGCGGTGTGGTCATGATAATCGAGTTAATTCGAGTATGCGTTAACCCTGCGATGATCTCTCGTCGAATTATCATTAGAACGGTGATAACTCTTGTAGATTTCTCGTCTACGATTTCTTTTCGAAAATTTTTTCAACGCTATTTCCTTTTTTTTTTTTTTTTTTTTTTTTTCCGTTACAAATTTTTCCTCGACGCGTTCTCCTCGTTACAATTAATTATCTTCGAAAGATAATCGGTTAATCGATCGAGAGACAATTTTAACGATAGCGCGGAGAGAGGCGAATCAACTTTAACTATATAAGGAGAATTTTCTATTTACGAGATTCATTTTATAAACGTTTTATTATCATAGCAGATTCGTCATCGTAGTCGATGATTCTTTGAGTCGTGTCGCAATCGTTCCGCGTATTGCAGTGTAAATAAATAAAATTGACGTGTATGATAGTTTGTTTCATGCCTCGAATGATGCATCGCGTTAATCGAGATGGAATGAAAAAGAGAACGGGGAAACAAAAAAGAAGATTGACGTTCGGTCGGAGAGAAAGAAGCCTGCGTAGTCTCATCGCGGGCCACATGTTTGAATAGCCATGCTGCTTCTTATAACGTTCCCATTCGTGGAATTTACACTCGTCGAGGGTTTCCTCGTAAGCTTCCTCTACGGAAATCCTCCGATTTTTACTCCTATTCCCGTTCTCCACCCGGTCTCTATCGCGATTTATCGATGTACGTAGTATCGACAAATTTGGGTGGAAATATCGATCGGACGTTTTATGATCATCGATAAACTAAAAATAGAGGAATGGATAATTTTTATCGTGAAAAGAAATCGAGCGCTCGACGCGAAAACGGCCGATATTAAACGATATTAAGCGATTGACTCGCGTCGACGTGTCGCGGTCTTTGACACGCGGAGGGAAAAGTTGTGGAGGGCGGCGAAACGGTTCGGAAAGAAAACGTTTTATCCACGGAGGAATGAAAGAGTCGATGGTGCACGGTTGCTCGTGGGCGGTTGGTAAGGCTCGATTTCCAACGCTCGCTTTTGTCTGGATATTTTTCAAACCGCGATCCGCTTCGAGCACGATGAACGGGATGATTCAACGATAATAATCGTGAACATGTTGTCAGCCTGTTTGGATAACTTGCAGCCTTGTGCACGTCGAATAAACAATATATTCCGTCTCTTTTAAATGATATACAACCACGTAGCGGGAATTTTACGATGATCTAATCGGGAAACGAGTTAACAAAGTCGTTGCAAAGTCTTAGAGATAAGGTGTTTTCGAGAATCGACGAAGAAAAGACTCGGCGCGGGTGGATTGTAAAAAGGGTGGGGGAGAAGGGAATGGATGGATGGAAGGAAAATCTAATTAAAACATCGCGATTCGATAACCGCGTGTTCGCGTAATTTCAATTAGTTGTAGTCCGTGATATCCGTGAAAACGAAGTCGTGGAGGCTATCCTATTTATATATCGGCAGGCATTCTCGGATATTAGGTATAGAAACGATAAATAAACGGATAAAAGCGCACCATTAAATTGATAATGACGCGCGTTGCTTCTTCGATACCGCGACTCGTCTGCGTGCAATTTTTATACTGGCGCGTACACGTGTTCACGTGACCGGTTGATAATAAGCCAACAGAGCCACTCGTATCATCCGCAGGATGCTTCTTCTTCGCTCGATTACCACCTACTGCTTCAAAAGGATCGCATCGCGTCGAACCTCTAAAGAGATACCTAATTGCCTAATTTGAATTTTTCACTTTCGAATAATTTCGAATAAAAAAAAATCGCAAGATTATCAAATAACAATCGTGGCGATAAATCTCTCGGAAGAAAAATCGTATCCTCCTTCACCCGCGAGGAAAACGATAGGAAAACGTCACAAATGGGATCTCGAAAAATCGTGGAAAAAAGATGGAGCGCGTAGGACGCGTGATCACCAAGTCGAATCGAAAGAGGCGTTCGTACTCGTGGTTCGTAGCCGGTCAGTGTAAACTCGGCTTTATTCGGCGGAGCTGTGCTCCGACTCACTTGCCTCGTCGCCACTCCACCAAGCCTAACAGAGAAAAGGACAAAGCGCGCGATAGGTGACGTACGGGTTAGAGCGGCACGGCGGGAGGACAGTGGCGGGAAGACGGCGGCGGCGGCGGCGGGTGGTGGGTGGCGGATCGGAGGCGGTTAGGTGGCGGCGGGCACAGAGGGGGGATACGAAACGCGTAAACAGAGAGTCAACATGTAAACAGGCCACTCGCGAGACAAACAACGTGGGGGCCGCGGGCTGTTCACTGAACGAGGCAGCCAGGCTCTCGCCTGTTCGTTCGTTCGTTCGTTCGTTCGTTCGTCCGTTCGTTCGTTCGTTCGTTCGTTCGTACGTACGTACGTACGTACGTACGTTCTCTCTGCTGGCATTCGGTGTGTGCTTCGTTTCCGTCCGTCGCTCTCCGTGCGTTAGCTCTCCGCTCGGTGTGTCGGATTTATCGAATCTCGTGGCGGCGTCCGTCCACGGATAACCGGCGTGTGGTGTTCCAACGTCGCAAGTCAGCCATCGATCGTGCGCTTCTCGTTCGCGTTTTAGTTGGACGGATAACGGCGCGATAACGCGATCGGAAAGCGCGGATCGATCGGAGGAACGGATTTCGTTTCCAGTTTTTTTCTTTCTATATACTGGTGCGACTCAAGGCCGAGACGAACGTGTTTTGGGAGGATACGTGTCGGTGATCACACCGACCGACCGACCGACCGGAATCTGTGCGTCGTCGTGTTTCCCTCTCGGTGCACGTGATTCTCCTCCGCTTATTAATTTTATGCGTCGTATAAAACCTCGTCGAAATCTATCGGCGAATAATCAATAACGCTTTTGTTACGGGATAAAGCGAAAGATCGTTCGAAATTATAATAATAATCGTGCGTTCGCGCTCCATTTGTTTTGTTTTGTTTCGAAACGGCGTACGAACGAAAAGTTCGTAGAATCGAACGAATACGTTTTATTTACGTGTACGGATTATTTCTCCGTGTGTATATATCGGTGGATTAACCGTGTTGATATTTCCCCCCCTCGTGTTTCAAAGACGCAATATTTCGAAGGAGCGTTTAGTTCGACACGCACCGTTCCCCGACAATGACGCGTAATTGTGCTTCGTGCCGTATTAATAGAAAATCGATCAGTGTTGGTTTGTGTTGCACGTGAAATTTGTGGTGATTTGTGATCGAGAGGGTGGGAGAGGGGGAGAGAGAGACATACCTTGGCCGATGGTCAACAGGTGTACGCCTTGATGATACACCGATGAGACGATGGAGATCGCTGTTAACATCCGTGTACAGTGAAGAGGAGGTGCTGTTGCGTTCTCGCGTGAATCATTAGTTTCTTGCTGCGGTTCGCTACCACGTGAGTAAGCAATCGTTATCGTACGTTTTATTGAGATTTATGCGACGCGGTCGCCGTGTTTAAATGTCTAATTGTTGCTCGGGAACGAGCGCGCGCGGTTATTCCTACGCCTTTAGGAAAATAACTGTTTACCAGTTGATTCGGATAGAAGAAATGCCACGCGGAAATTGCTTGTCCGTAATGGTTTTTTAATGGATCCGAGCATCGTACGGATCGCACACGTACACACGTGTGTACGCGTCCCTTCGATAACTTTGTTCGATCTTCAACATCGACCGAACCATCGAGACAAAAAGTTGACCGCTTTTTTCGCGTTCGCGTTCGCGTTCGCGTTTCGTCATCGCGCATTAAATCTGGAGCGCCGCTACACGTGGGACGCGTGCGCAACCACGTGCACGAGTTGCACGACATCGAGTGATAATATCGATCGATCGTCGAAAGTGGACGTTGACAGTTTAATTCGAGGTTATTTCGGTATGGACAAATCGATCCCGTGGCCACGAGCTCTTTAGACGTTCGTTCGATTTAATCGCGTTCCGTTAATCGATGGGTTTGTGCGTTGCCACGGGCCAATTAAGGAATCGCGTCTTCGATCGATTCGGAGCAAAGTTCAAGGATTACTGGTGGAATTGTGTTTCGTGTAAACGTGTTCTAACATTGTCAAATATGTTTAACATATTTTTCATATCTTCGACGTAACGTATCTCTCGAAATTATTCGCAATAACGATTATTTTATCGAAAGGAATATATTATAAAATATATATATATATATGTACACTCATATTCGCTATATACACTCGTTTCGTCTCGCATTTTTAATCGATCATCGGTAATTGTTTTCGAACTCAGTTTTCGAAAGAAAAAAGTATTTGATCCATTCCTCGATTCGATCGATTAAATTTCGAGCGATTCGAAAAAACGATTGTTCGTGGCTCGTGTATGCAATCGCGTATGCGCTTCTCGCATGAGACGTGATCTCGTTTCTCTTCATTCCTCTCATATTTCGCGATTCGATCTATTATTCGTTGCAAAGTGGTATCGAGAAGAAGAAAGTAAGCAGAATCTCCGTCGTAATTAGCTAGCGTAGATTCGAAAACAACAAGAGTTATCGAGTTTGCACGATCTTCTAATTATCGGTGAACAATGAGCGTGTATGCGTGTGTATGCGTGTGTATGCCTTTTTCTACCTTACGAATCTAGAAAAATGAAACGATCTATCTAAACGACACAGATAATCGCTTGATTGACCGGAAGTTAAAGTTCTTTCGAAGCGAGTTTCCCATGAAACGCGTCGGGTTGTAATGCTGTTTTACAGCTACAGATAAAAAGTAAATCTTACTTGTGCCAAGATTTCTACCACGCGGTTTCTTGACGCGTATGTTTGTCGAAATTACGGCGGCCAAGATGGAAAAATACGAAGAGAGAAACGATCGCCACTAAATCGTCCTTTATTTATCCCCGATACTTCGAGTCTCTTTTTTCCTTCTTCCTCCTCCTCCTCCTTCTCTATTCTCCCACTCGATAAAACTTTTCTTTACGATTCTCTCGTCTCATTCATGCTCCTTCCTCGTATTCTAGGCTTTCCCACTCGAGATACGGATGATGCGGCCACGTCCACCGTCACCCGGCCGGATCTCTCCGGGTGTAGAATAAGAAACATTAAAAAGTGTTTGAGGGCAAAAGCGAGTAAACAGTTGGTTATTTATAGCAGTGCTGCGCGCCGACTTGTGTAAGGTGGACCGAATAACGGGGAAAACCGTAAGGATTCGTATCGTATGCACGATCGTTCTTTTCTTGGAGGATGAAAGGAGGGAAGAAAGGAAGAGACATCTTTTTAATTTTCTTCTTTGATTGTATATATATAAAAAAAAAAAAGAAATACCACATTCTCCTTATCCTTTTCCAATCGTATCGTTCATTCCAGCGTATCGTTCATTCGTTTCTTCAGGTCGATTATTTTTTTCCCCTTTCGAAGTTCCTTGAAAACTCGAAGACACGTACACACACGTTCGAAACGAATAAATAAATACGCGTTTTTTTTTTTTTTTTTTTTTATCGTATTCGCGGTTATAACGTAGAAACAGTGTCTCCAAGAAAGGATGAAAGATCGCGTCGTATCGTGTCGTAGAAAGAGATTCATAGGCCAAGCTGTCGGGTTGATTGCTTTATAATAGCCGAACAGCGGCGAAAAAAAAAACATATTCTTTAGAGGAAAAATATATTGCCGTCATTGTGCTACATCCGCTTAATGAGTTTACGTCCGCCGATTAGCGGCCTCGTGTGTATCTCGTTTGTTAGTCGCTGTTTACGAAATAAACGCGACACGCCATACACGGGTTATTTCCGTTCCGACAATTTTGGATGGCGAGGTGTCGCCGAAAGGGGAACCGGAAAGCGACAAAAGGAACGGAGGATGAAAAGAGTGGAGGGAGGGAGGGAGGGGAAAAAGGAAAAGAGAGAAAAAAGAAGAAGGGAAAAGAAAAAAAGAGAGAGAGAGAGAGAGAGGGAGAAAAAAGAAATAAAAAGGAGTAATAACACGCGGGCATCAAAAGCACAAAAGCAATTGCGGTCGTAACGCGGCGTAAACAGCGTCGAACAAACAACTGATACAAGCGAAATAAAGAGTGGTTCGTTTAAAGATTTCATTGAACTGGCACGATAATGGACACCGCGTACACAAGCCTAACGACTCGCGCCGAATGGTTCGTATTATCAAAAGAAACTATTGTCGGCCTGTTGTTAACAATGCGTTGTTATTAAAACCTGTATATTCTCGTGACAAACAAAGACATTGTGCTTCGCGATACCAGTCGGCCTAGAAAATCGCAGAACCGAACTTTTGTTCTCCATGGAGCAAGGATTCTCACACCTTGCATTAATCACCCTGACCTTCGCTCGTTTCGATCTTTCGCGATATGCAAAATACGATCCGCGATCGTGGCTCGCCTTTGGGAAAATTTCTTCATCTTGTAGAAAACACGATTGCAAAGAGGATTTCCAAGCCTATGTGTATGTGTATATGTGTATATATATATATATATATATATATATATATAAAGATAGGCATTTTCGATCGTTCGCGGGGAATCGTTCTCGCGCTTCTTCTTAACGTCATACCGGTTAATTCGTCTCGATGGTTGCACTCGTTAAAATGTACTGGCCGGTTTTTATCGAATTGAAAAAAAAAAAAAAGAAAAAAGGAAAAGGAAAAGAAAAAGAAAAAGAGGAAAAAGGAGGATCGTTAAAATTTCTTGCTCGTCTCCGACTTGTCCAAAGAGGATGTAAACAGTCGTAACAGACTTGGAAAAGATACATTGCATTCGTACGGTCATTATCGGTTTTCTATAAATAAAATCATGCTTCTCGATAAAACTGCCTAGCGCGCGAACCGGAGTCGTTTAAAACGCGAGATTTACAGAGTTCTGTTATATAAATAACCACAATCACGGGCCGTGACGTCGGTCCGCGTAGTAGTTCGCACACATTTGATCGTTTCCTTTCTCTTTTGTTTTCAATGAAGACTAATCGGTTGGTTCCCTCGTTCGTAGCTTCGCTCTTATGCATTTCGATAGACGTATCATTCTCGAAAATCGTAGAAATCGTGCAGCTAATTTTGAATTTCGACTTCCCATTTTTCCCCTCCCCTCCCGCTGTCGATTAGTTTTCGCTTCTTTTTCTTTTTCTTTTTTCCTCTCTTTTCGATCTTTCTCACTCGCGATTCGATACATAACGTAGGAGAGCTGTTTACGCAAAATCGGTGGAAGACGTATCGTTTCACAACTGTTATTTATTCAAACGGTGGAACAACGGTTGTTTACGAGAGAGATTTTCCACGTTCTTACGTGGTTTCGTAGGAATGCACAAGCCTCCTAACCGTAGTCCGTTACTTCTAGAACGGAGTTCGCCCATTGCCGAGATTAGAGTAGCAGCATTACTCATTCTCCGACCTAATTGCACGCGGCACACCGCGGCGAAGAAAGTCGGTACACGGTGTCGCGTTTTCAACCATGCCTGTTTATCCTTTGGTTCTGCTTGAACGAAACATTTTCGTATCGCGCCATTTACGAGTCAACGGGACGCGCGGCGACCACCGCGTATACACGCGCGTATAGCCCGGCATTTTTAAACTGGTACACTCGGAATTGAAAAAAAGCGGTATGAATGGCGCCTTGGAGGTTTCGTTTACACCGGCTCGGCTGAATATCAAAGCACAAAAGGAGGCTTTAAACCTCGACGACGACGACGACGACGATGACGACGACGACCACGACGGCGGCGATGATAGATTGGCCTGTGTGTTTGCGTGTCTGTACGCGCGCGCGCGCGTGCGTTGTTTAGAACGCGCGACGATCACGGTGGAATTAACGAATGGAATTTTTCTGGTGACGTTTCCACCTCTTGAAACCCGTATATGTGTATAGCGCGTTGACAAAAAAAGAAAGGGAAAGTGGCGCGAGACGATTCGACATTGTAACTTGAAAATGTGCTCGTGCGTACATAGACGAATCGGTGGAGGTCTGAAGCCCCCAAGGTGTGGGTGCGTTTAAATGCGGCAGTAGGGCGGCCACGCCACGCCACGCGACGCGTGCGGATATATACGTGTGCACGAGGATTTCATTCCTCCCATCCGGTTAAAGCAGAACAAAATAAAAGGTGAAACAAAGCGGGGAGTACGTTTTCCGAGGGAGTTTCATAATACCTTCTTGAATAGAGCCACCGGGATAGCCTTACACGCGCGTTTTATAATGTCGTTTGTGCGTGCGCGCACAAACAATGAGTTTACCTTGCCTGCTTTTGAAGAAGAAGAACGCGGTGACACGTGCCCGCGTAGACCCCGTAAAATTCAAGTCACTCGTTCGCGTGTTACGTTCTCGTGGCTTATTCTCTTCTACGTGGATAGATTTAAGCGATAAAAAAAAAGGAAGAAAAAAAACACCGATTTCGATTCATCGCCAATTCTATCACGTTCAATCGTTTAAAATTTGTAATTTTACATTTCGAA